CCGCCGCTGGGCCCGTCCAGGTGCTCCTCCAGCTTGGCCGTCTCTATGACGTCCATGGTCCTCCGGTCCTCTGGGCAGAGTGCAGGGGGCAGCGCTGTGGCCCTCGGTGCCGCTCCGGTCCCCGGGCGGCCGAGGCTGGCATGGACTCAGGGTCGCTCTTGCATCTGCGTGCGAAGTGTGCCCGGGGCCATCTGCTCAGTGCTCCGGTCACCGGTCACCCCAAACCAGGCCTCCTTCCCCCAAACAATGCCACGATCCCACCTGAAAGCAAAAGAACAAACAGTCACAAGCCAGCGCTGATCACACATTCTCAAGTAGGGACACAGACACCAAAGCCACTTGGCTCTGGCTTCTGCCAGAGAGTCAGCTGCTTCACAAAAGAAGGAGCCGCCTCACCGCGGAATTCTTGTCCCCTTAGGCTCGGAGGTCAGCGTAAGGAGGGACATTTTAACAGTTCTGGACCCAACTTGGAAAACATTCCGCAGACACCCACTTTGCTTGTTGTTAGTTGTGAAGTCATAATATGCTGGAACCTGCTGGGGCTCTGTTGTTCCTTCCTGGGACCTTTTCTAAGAAGCTTGAAGGAAAGGTTAAAAGCCCAGGTGAGGCCGGTTTGGTGGCACACACCTGTGAGTCCAGCTCTTAGGAGGCTGAGGCAGGAAGCTCACCGTGAATTCAAGGCCAAACTGGACTACAGACTGAGATGAAAAGAGAGAAAAAAAACCAAAACAGAACAAAACAAAACAAACCCCAGTGAGTTGCTTACCCTTACTGAACAATTCCTACTCCCCATTTGCCTTATTTTAAAAAACTGAAGTCCTTTGGCAACTACTTTTAAGAACAGATTCCAGAGAAACACACTCAGGAAAGTGAAAGTGGCGTTGCCTCGGTTTACCCTTCCAATTGGGAGATGCACCTCCGGCTGAGGGAGGCTGGCAGCCTTCACAATACCAGGAAAGGCAGCAGAGCCCGAAGCGCATCTCATGCAGGAAGCGGGAGGCTCACTCACCGGGGAGGTGCAGGCTGCAGCCCAGGCTTCTCCCGGACTCCTCCGCCTCTTATACCAGCCCCGGCCGCTCCCGATTTAGGAGGAGGTATTTCGGGCCACCTAGGGAGGCACACACCCCACAATTAGTCCCTGCCTCTTGCAGGGTCATTTCGGGAAAAATAAGCAGAAGGACACAGAGTGGGGACAGCTAAGCCTTTATTTAGTGACAGAAAAAGGAAAGCAGTGTGTGTGGTGGTGGGTGGGGTTCAGGGCGGCAGCCGGGCAGCTCCAGGACCCCACCCCGGGGCTCCCAGGAAGAGAGCGGCCTGGCCCAGGCGGCAGCGAGCACGAGACCAGCAGAGGGCGGGGAGCTTTGCTCAGGGCTGCCCCACAGCCACTGCCCAGGAGGCCAGGGGTGCGGCTGACCTCCCATTTCTCTCCCCTGTCCCTGTGAAAGCCTTGGATACAGAACATTAGAGCAGGAGGAGAAAGTCCGTCATGGAGCTGGGCTGGTGGCACACACCTGCAGGATCACCACTCAGGAGGCTGAGGCAGGAGGATCGCCGCACGATCGAGGCCAGCCTCGAGGAAGTACAGTGGCAGGTGACTTGGTATAGGGTTTTCACCACAACAGACTCTGATGCCATGTCTAAGTCTCGCTATGTAGTCCAGGCTGGTCTCAAACTCACAGGGATCCTCCTGCCTCAGCCTCCTGAGTGCCGGGCTGACAGGCGTGTGCATTACCTTCAGCTCTCCCCATGTAGGGAGCCTGGTTTCTGGTTGCAAGCAGCGGCTTTAAAGCCCTGTTTCTCCCGTGCATGGAGAGAGGGGCTTTTGTGGGCGCCAGCTCTAGAACACAGCGCGGAACAAGGGAGACCCAATTAGCTCCTGTTAGAGCCAGCACTCAGGCAGCCGCTCGGGGGATGCCGCACAGGTGACTGAAGTAATTAATCACGGCGCGGCGCCCGGGGAGCCAATGCCCCCTTGGTGCCATCAGCAGAGGACTGACGGGTCCCCAGGATGTCATTAAGGGACCAGAGGGATGGCGCTCAGCTGCCAGCCACGCGGTGAAGCCGACACCCAGCCTGCTCCAAAGGACGCCCTCCTCCTCCAGCCGGGTGTGGCAGCCAGACCACTTGCGGGCTGAGCCAGGCACCGCCTCAAGCCGGACACACCCGCAGGCAGGGCTGGGATTCGGTTCTGTGCTCCAGGGAGGCCGCGCGGGGGTGCCGTCCAGCTCCAGACACGCAGCTCCAGACACGCAGCTCCAGACACGCAGGGGTGCGTCCGGGCCAGGAGGGGTGAGAGCTGAAGGCGCTCCTGAAAGACCGAGCAGACTGCTATTTACAGCAGCACAAAAGCTGCATCTGGAGAGCTCCTGTCTGTCCATGAGCAGATGCGATACAGAAAATGTGGCATTCACGCACCATGGAGTACTACACTGCCACGAAGAAGGATAAACTTGAGTCACGTGCGGGAAGACGGGGATACCCAGAGACCGTGGTGTTAAGTAACTCAGACACATGATTTAACAGTGCGTGGCTTCCCTTATGTGAGACCCAAAGTATAACTAACGAGCAAGATGAGAAGGATGGGACGCAGGGAGCCGGACCTTTCTCAAAGGGGAAGGGACCGCGAGACCGAGGCAGGGGGGCGACGGCGCGGAGAGCGTGAACTGCGTGCTGCAGACACTGCTGATGCGGGGGAGGGGGGTGGGGGGGCCAGCCCGCGGTGGCCCTGCTGGGGATGCGCAGTCCCAGCTCGGCGCAGAAGACGCTCATTCCTACCTTGCGCGCCCGCTTCGCCTCTCCCTCCTGCTCCCTAACCTGCTCTGGCCGACAGCCCAGAGGAGGAGGAGGAAGGGGCAGCGCTCCTGGGACGAGAGGGACGGCGCGAGGTCAGAGGCCACGCCCAGGTCTCGGTCTGCAAGGGGCTTCCTCCTCCAGGACCAGGGCAGCCAGCTGTGCCTGCTCTCAGCCAGCCCGGGCTACACAAGACCCTGTCTCAGTCAACCGCTAAAGAACGGGTCAGGAAAGAAAGGAGGGCGGGTGGAGACAGAAGAAACATCAATGAATTGGACTCGGGTCCCATCCCAAAGAGAGGGCGTTAGAGATCTATGCAAATGTTCTAAAATCGGAAACACTTCTGGTCCCAACTCTTCCACAGCGGACACTCAGCCTATGCAGGGAGTGTAAAACTGCAAGACCGACACACAGCAAAGCCTAAGAAAGAGCACAGCAGCCAGTCAAGCAGACCATGATCCGAGTGGGAAAGGCAGACTCCCGTTCATTCACTCAGAAGTTAGTACGAACACACCCATCATACCAGCACTCTGGGAGGCTGAGGCAGGAGGATGCCAGGTTCAAACCCAGCCTGGACAGTTCAGTGACTTAACTTTTTTTAAAACAATGGGAAAGGGTTGTGTTTCAGATCCTCAAGTGAGTGTGGAGATCACACCCTGAGCGCCCTCCGTCCCGGGGCAGACCCGAGACACAGGGCCGCATGGACATCCACAGGCCCCCAGCCTGGGGTCACAGGGCTCCCGGGAGCTGCAGTCACTGCCTATGTGAGGCCAGGAACAGCACAGGCGGCTCAGCAGATGACTTCACCTGCTTCCATTGGATCCAGTGACTTCACAGCGCAGGCGCTGGCAGAACGGGGTGGCCATGCAAGCCGCCACATCCCCTCCCTCTGCTGCATGTCTGTGTCCCTGGACTTGGTGACGACCGGCTGATTCTGCTGTGGGGTTGTGCAGGGCACCAGCAGCATCCTCAGCATCGACCCTTAGACGCCGGCGGTGTCGTCGCTACTGACAGTCAAAGCTGTCCCCAGATGTCACCAAGTGTGGGCTGTGAGGACAAATCCCTCCCCACCCACACTGGGAACAAAGGGTCTAAGTAAGTAGAAATCCACAAGGAAGGGCAACTTATCTACGTTTCCGTAAGGTTCTGCTGTTTAAAAGGACTGAACCTGTGAAAGGCAGGCGCCAACACTGCGGGGGCAAACTGTTCCTGCACCGCAACAACTCCGACTGGTGAGCCGGACAGGATCTCACGGGTCCGGACCAGTTCGGACAGGGGCAGCTCAGAACCCATGGAAGAAAACTCGGTTGCCACAGACATTAAAAACTGGAGGGGTAGAGCCGGGTGTGGTGGCACACGCCTATAATCCCAACACTCGGGAGGCTGAGGCAGGAGGATCCGCTGTGAGTGCGAGACCAGCCTGGGCTACACAGTGAGTTCCAGGTCTGTCTCAACTACATAGTGAGACCCTGTCTCAAAAAATCAAAACAAAAAAAAAACCCAAAAAACAAAAACTGAAGGTGTGGGATAACATTAGCCACAGCTAAATGTGTACTTCTGGGCAGGTGTGAATAGTCACCACCCCTGGGAAGCCAGCACGCTGGGTGTGTGACACAGATGTACGGAGCATGCAACGCAGACATACGAGTGTGGCACAGACACTGAGTGTGTAACAGACACCGAGTGTAAAGGCCATCGCTTCGTTAACAGGACCCAGGGCAGTAAGGAATCTCAGCCCTCACAATTCTTACTTAGGACCAGGACGCGGGAACCTTTCTCCAGCAGCCTCGGAGCTTGACCTGCCCGTAACCCCCCAAATGTGTGGGCACCAAACGCTTCTGGTGCAGGGGATGGGGCCGCTGCAGGACCCTCGACGTCTGTTACATATTTCAGCCCCAGTCCTCGAACCCTGCGAAGCAGGCTTGGTGCTTACTGAGCATCATCCTGTGAGACTTTCTCTCCTAGCCAAAGTCACCGGAAGAGGCTCCTGTCACAGCGACCTCACCCCGATTTCAATAGGGGTACATTTTTAAACATATTTATATATTTTTGATA